AAATCCATAAATAGGAGTTTGTTAAGAACTCAGGATTAAGATCATCCTATATATGACCATCGGTAGACTCAATCAGAATTTATATGCTTAACGGAAATTATTAGAAATTCATATTGTGTCTGTGTCCTTGTTCCACATAATCTTATTATACGAAATACACTCATTCAATATCTCGCCATATTAACAGTGCGGATAACACCGTTCCATTCTAAATGGGAATGACATGTATTAATAATGTTTTAATTAAAGATTCTAAACTTTAATTAAATTCATCATGAACAATGTTTTTGTTTATTATCCTTAAACAATATCCTCTCGTATATAACACTTATATACTATGTTTAAGGTTACATAAACAATCACAGAATTTTCATTTGATATTCATAAAATATTCATAAATATATGCACATAAAATGATAAATAAACTCTTTTATTAATTAAGTAATAAATATCCTATTACATCTCATGCTTCTAGAACACAATTCCCAACACAATCAATACCACACCCAAAATCCAATGAAGATACCTTCGTTCTCTCGATACGGCACCTCAAGACCACGGACCTATCTCACCAAGGCCGGCCGCCGCCGACCAAGCCTCAAATCTACCACAACTTATCGTCTCCATCTCCAACACGAGGCCCTTGCGCGGAGCTTGTCGACTATTCTTTACTAGTCCCAAACATTCTCTCACCTAAGCAACTAACATCCAGCCTCATCTCCACGAACAGAAAAGTCCCATATGTAGCCCTCCTCTCTCAAACCATGGCATGATAATCAGCTCACTAGGCGGTGCCGGACTTCGGCGGAGACAGTGGTGCAAGCAAAACTATAGAAACCCTACAGTGGTACAAGAATTAGTGATATTTAATTATAAGGGAATACAGTTTTTTTTTTTTTTTTGGAAAAAAAAAAGAAAGAAGAACTCACAGTTAGCTACAGAAAATAGAATAAAGACTTTAAACAAATATAAAGAAATAACAATAACAAAACTTTAAACTACTGCAAGTCACCGGAATAAAGACCGTGAGCAATTATTCTAAAAAATGTGGTAAATAATTGCTCTCAACCCTCACGGAGAAACAACCCTTTTATCGGTTGTCTCCTATAGTCCTATATGGAAAAAAAAAACAAAAACAAAAACAAAAAAAACGTTGTCTTTTTTGGATGAAAAAGGGGATTTCTTTCATTCTTTTGAGTCTTTCACAATGTCAACCAAACATTGAGCATTTGTTAATTTTCTAGACGACATTTGACATGCGACAACTAGCCATTGTTAGTAACGATCATCATTAGAACTTTTCGAATCTGATCATGACTACTTGCACTTGGCAAATTCTATCTAAAAGCTATCAAACATCAAACACTATTACTAAGGCTTGGTTGACAATATTGCATGCAAATTTGAGCAACCGTTGATCTGACATTTGTATGTGGTGTCCAAAAAAATACTAAAATTCGTTCGTCAATTATATTCTATTTGCTTATTAAACATTTTCTGAAAATTTTTCCCTTCAAATTGGTACTTCCGAAGTTTATTCCATCTTAAACCCTGAATTCATATGACATCTCAAATCGAGTATAATAGTTATATTCTGTTAAATACTCGATGAAATGTATTAAAATGACGTAGGTAAAAAAGTTATAGGAATATTCACACATATTTAAATTCATCCCAACAAATAAAATAAGAATATTAACTACTGTTTAACATTTATAACTAAAGGATTAGCAGTTTCTAGTTACAATTTGGGAATACATAATAATGAACTACTTTATTGCAAAATCAATGTATTAACTTTTATTTTCGAATGCATGTGTTAACAATTTATTAATAATAATTATTATTATTATTATTATTATTATCATCATCATCATCATCATTGACAGGGGGCAGGGGCGGGGAGAGGGGAGGGCCATGGCCCCCTAGTTTTTTTTTTATATAGTAATTTTGATTTAAATGTAGTAGATATGTGTATAAATTAGACTTTGTCTCCCCTTAAATTAATAGTTCTCTATATTTTATTGAACTAACCATTTGAATTTTAAATATTTAAAATATTAAATTTTATTAACTCCATATACATATTAATAAAATCTTGATTAAAAATAAATATGCTCCCCTTCTAATAAATTCTGACTCCGTCACTGATTATTATTACAATTTGAAAAGAATATTGCATTAACAGTTTAAAACACACTACAATGTAAGGTATAAAAAAAAAATCTAAACCACATACGAGTTAACAAAAATAAGCAATAAACGATACCAATTGTTTATTGTTGATGGGAAAATCCAAATGTTCTAAGGTTGTTGTGTTTGTGCTTTTTGAGAAAATTCGTTACACGAGTTTGTTGACATGATGGATTTACAGCTATGTTTATTGGAGTTTTTTAAGGGGAAAGAGTCATTGTTTGAGCAAGGTCTAGACGACAACAGTGTGATTAGAACATTAAGCTTAAACATATAATATCCGTATAAAATCCAAAATATATAATTCGTTTGCATTTCCATATTGCGCCAGAACATTATTGCTTAAACAACATAGACATGAGTGTTAAAGTAGAGGTGGGATCGGGGATGTCAAGTGCATACATTCTCGAGAGAAACGATAAATCTAATAAATAAAAAATGCATTTCTTGAGAGGAGCAAGGGTGTTTATAACCATATTTATCAAATATTATATTAACTACTAATTCACTGTAAACTAAAATAAAAAAAATATTTGAAATATATGTTTTTTACATTTAAAATGATGATCTATACAATTTACGCTTAAAATAATGGTCTATGCAATGCAATGTCTTCTAGTTCTGGTCGGCTCAATTCACATGGGGCCAAATATTTGCGTCTCCTTTTATCTTCCACGAAATTTCCATCTTCTTTTACAAGAAAGAAATTTAAGTGCACTAAGAAATGGGGATTAGTTCCCTTAAAATAATAATTAAAAAAGATGGGAGTTATCTAATAGACGATTCATGATCTATCCACTAACAAAAATTTCATGGTGTAGTAATTAATTATAACGATCTTAGGTGTATGGACACATTTTGAATATTAAAAGACTTAGGGGTTTAGTTTAATTGACACATATTGTTTATTAACAGATTTAAGGATGAATCATAGCATTATTACTGAATGCACTAACGAGTTTAAATAAATTTTATGTGACAAAATATGGCTTACAAATTTACAATATGAAGTAATGAATGCTTATTTATTAAAAAAAAATGTATTATTGTTCGTTAAGACACTAAATTATATCCGAAGTATTAACGTTGTGTATGGCCAAATATCGTTTTCTTTTCTTTTTTTTTTCAAATGTCTTTCATTTTTTGAATTTCTCCGCTAATTTCTTTATACCTGTGATTGCAAAATAAACTTTGCACTCTGAGAAATTTTCCCCTTTTTCTTGCTTTACAGAAAGCAATAATTTTTTAGTAGGTTAGGTACAAAACTCACTTAGTACCGTATTATTTGTATTATAAGATTTCTATCGAGTTATGTTACTTTTGTGTATGTATATAATTAATATATTAATATGATTTTATTAATATGACACTTTGAGTGTCGTCAGTCGATGTAATTATTTAGGAAAATTTTTATGATGGGGCACGTTTCTTTTTGTTTTTTATTTTTTATTTTTTCTAAACTTCAACAATCTAATTTATAAATAGCCATACTTTTTTGGTTTGACGATGTTTCCTTTTTTCAATGTAAACACTCATAAATTATATCACAATTTAATGACTAATAATACTTACCCAATCATAAAATTTTCTATCTTGTAAGTACCCTAACATAAAAAGCTTTCCACAAAAGCATAGACGGAGGGAGGTTATTTTTCTAAAAAAAAATGTGTAGAATTATATAATTTCTTATATTATTATGAATATAGCCCCCACTAAACATAAAACTTTAATCCTACGATCTTATACTTATTATATTTTTAAGTGCTTGTTGCACTAACACTATCTGTCTGTGTTTATCAATATTACAATCACACCTTCTTAATTGAAACTAATCACGTTAACACCCCTAACTTTTTAAAAAAAAAATTACATAGGCACTCTCTTCTTTTGTTCACCGTGAGTTGACCATCCAAGTTGCCTATTAATTTATTTCGAAATGCCAAAAATGCCCTGGCAGTATCAGAAAACGTTTTATAAGCTATATATAATGCTCAAAATATCGGTCTTATCCTTATTTAACAAGGAAAAACACGTTTAATTGTTTTTTACACACTTATGAAACGAACTTTAACGAAGGCTTTATTTATCCCATTTCTTGTGTTTATTTCGGTCTGGATTTTTTTTTTTTTTTTTCAGAACAAAAGCATTTCAATAAACGCCTAAACTAGAACCAAAAAAAAACACACACATGCACAACTTAACTGCTATCAGCTTTGGAGACACTACACAAACTCCTAAATATCAACTAAAAAAAAACGTGTAGTCTCATTAATTCATGTAGTCTCAATGAGTTTTTCCATCATCTGCATCTTTAAAGCTTTGAAAATGGCCATGTAAAATGCCTAAAGCCCAGAAGTTCAGGAATTTCTTCCTGTAAAAACTTCAAACTATTACATTTTGGTTACTTTCAACTACAGAAAAGACAAATCAACAAAAAAAAATCCCTGCTTGCAGAAACCCATTTTCCTCTACGAAACAAGTCCTTGAATTATTTTAGTTGTAATTCCACTGATTCTTTTTCTCCCTCTGCAACATAGATGAAGGTGTTCTTCAATCTCATCTCAAGCTTAGAATTATTCGCTCAAATCTATTAAAAAGAACAACAACAACTAAAACAAAAAAAAAACAAAAACCAGCCTTAGTCGTGGAGGTCCTGCAATGTTTTCCATCTTCTTCCCTCAAATTTCCTTTCCGCCGGTCTAAATCCTCCCCAAAGCCAAGCCCCAATTTTCTAGGTAAGATGAAGGTGCCCTTACAATTTCTGATATGTAACGTAAGAGAAATGAATGAGAACTCATCATTTTACTATGGAGATTGAGGAACAGCGTCGCAGGGGCTGGGTTTCCGTCAGCGCGGCTGGCGTCGGCGATGGCTGGGTCGCATGGGCGAGAGGGGTTGTGGGAGGGGGGGTCTGGTAATGGAGCAGTGTGATCTACGTTGTTTTTTTTTTTTTTTTTTTTTTCCTCATATAAAAGGAAGATTGAATGGACGGTTGGGATCTGACTTTTATTGATCAATGGCTGATATTATAAAGGATAGTTTTGACATTTTCTAAACAAATTTAACAGAGTTTAGGTCAGAGACTGCTTCTCTGATTAGTTTCAGTCAAATGGACGTGACTGTAATATTAATAAAATACAAAAATTGTCACTATAATAAGCCTTTTTTTTAATTATATAATATTCCCATTCACAAACTTTTCTAGCTCCGTCGCTCGACAAAAGATTGAATAGAGGTCATTATTTTCGGATATCTAATTTTTCATATTTAAATAGGGCACATAATCACATGATATGCCCAATTGCCCATTCGTTTTTAATCAAGATTTTAATTATATTCTATTGAAAACGCGTGAGTGGAAATGAACTGGCAGCGGCAATATACTTGACGTCTTTGACTTGTATGTCTTCTTCCTAGAACGCACAAGGAAGTCTCTCAAGCAAGTTTATTTTAAGGTCATCTTGGTGTGTCTGCAACTTCTTCTCAAACTAATTTAGTCTTGCTTTTATAAAACTGTGCTTCTCAAAGGCATCAAGTCGCTAAGAGAGCTTTCATTCTATTTGTTGATATGGATGATTATGGTGTTTCTCCTTCTTCTCCTTCCTCTATTTGTGAGAAATACGACGTCTTTCTCAGTTTTAGAGGTGCAGACACGCGCCATAACTTCATAAGTCATCTTTTTGCTGCATTGACACGAAAGCAGATCAAGACTTATATCGACGAGGAAAGCCTTGAGAAAGGAGACGACATCAATATCGCACTTCCTAAAGCAATTCAGAAGTCAAAGATTGCAATAATCATTTTCTCAAAAGATTACGCTTCTTCAACCTGGTGTTTGCGTGAGCTCGAACGTATACTTGAATGTCACCGAGAAAATAAACAGATGGTAATAACTATTTTTTACGAAGTATATCCATCTGATATACGGGAACAAAAAGAAAGTTATGAGAAGCCATTCATAGAGCATGAAAATCGTTTTAAGGACAAAATGAAAATGGTCAATAATTGGAGAGTTGCTTTAGCAGAATCAGCTGATCTATCTGGATGGGTTTCACGAGTCACAAGGTATTTATTTTTTCACTCATGTTTCTACCTACAGTATCTACATAAACGTAATGAAGTAATTCATATACACAAACTTTTTTCTAGAAGCGTCTGAATCTCTTTGTTAAATTGTACTTGCAGAACAATATTCGAGTAACATCTATCATTTTGCTAGCAATTGAAACTATTCTTCGGTATACATTTTTTTTTTTTTTTTGCTATAATTAAACATGTTAAAATGCTTCACCTTTTAAGATTAATATGACCGTTAATTGGTTTGACACATTTTGTTAATTGCCAGTCACTTGTTCAAAGTTAAATTGCAAGTGTAAAGGTAAAAAAAATTTATAGAAAGCGAGCCTAATAAAACAGACACCCCTTGACCGAAATATTTCACTTGAACACTTCGAGTTTTTAGAAAAATTAGAAAGACACCGTTTCCGTTCATTATAAAGTCTCTGGAAAAAGTGTCTTTTTTATTGTTAAAAGTATTGTTAGGCCCCCTCTTATTAGCTTAAACTTTTGGGATGGATTGGCTTAACTGACTGGTATCAGAGCCTGATGTCCCGGGTTTGAATCCCCTTTCCGGATGTTTCCTCCCCTAAAAATCATCACGTGTTGTTCCTCCACGTGAGGGGAAGTGTTAAAAGTATTGTTAGGCCCCCACTTATAAGCTCGAGTTTTTGAGTTAGATTGGCTTAACTGACTGGTATCAGAGCCTGATGTCCCGGGTTCGAATCCCCTTTCCGGGTGTTTCCTCCCCTAAAATCATCACGGGCTTTTTATGAATATATATTTGTGTGTATATATAAATATATATATATATATATTTATATTTTGAATGACGATAGAGGATGGGTTTTTATATGAATATATGTGTGTATATATATTTTTGAATGATGTGAGAGTATCAACAAAAATGAGTTTTAAGTGTTCTGCTCACGACCACAACTTGCACTCTAATGGTTAAAAGGAAAACAAGGACATTCTCTCAAGAACATCATAAGGTAAGGTTATCAAAAGTTTTGCTGATTAGTAAACAATACTCAGAATCTAACTTGGATAAACCCAAAAGTTTAAATGTGTATTATAAAAAAATTATTTTTAATGCATAAAAATATAAAGTTATAAAATAAAACTTGTTTTACAAAACTCTATGCATGGGAATAAATTGTTTATATTTGTAGATATGAAGTTCACTGCATAATGCTTCAAAAAATAAAATAAAATAAAATCATTTCATGATTGTTTGCTCACGCTAGAATATGCAGGCGCAGATGAGAGTATATCATTGAAACGACTAAAAGGGAAATATAATCATATAAAATATTAACACTTTTCTAACCTGGCTAGTACAATGACATGTACACATAAAGAAATGAACATTACATTGTGTAAATTATAGGAAACCAAATTCCTGGATGTTACGTGATCACCACTTTAAATGAAAGCAGAATATTAAACTAGTTACTACTAATTTGTACTACATGCATCAATTTACTCAATCTAGTAGTTATTTGTAACGCCCCAATGCTAAATCGGTCTGAGGTTGAATTTAGCGAGGTGATGCTACTTAAAACATACTTTTTTTATAAAAACAATGTCATTTTTAAGATGCGAAAACTTGTGGTTGATTTCATCACAAAATTTTCGTAAATTTTTTCGAACAAAATGAGTCAGTGCACAAAATGATTACAACCACAAATCTTAGACATTAAACAGTTATTCAAAAGCGACATAGTAACAAAACAAAAAAAAAAACATTTTGGGCCCATCTATTGTTTGGAAGTACATATAAGCAAGATGCTAGATGTAGGACTTGGAATACTCAGCCAACCTTGAAAATCATTTTTTTTTTACTCTAAGAGAATAAACTTGCATAATTACAATTCTAAACAAGTTATTTCGTCAAATAAATCTTGTGATGCACTTTTGAAAATGCTTTAACTCTACTTATTTGAATTTCAATCACCACTTTGCAAGCACAAACTAGTTGGTTGTGGGCGGCCTTCAATGTGCTAATTAACCTTTAAAAACTATAGCTTTCAAAAATCACATTCATATCATCATTTAACAAAACACATAACTGCGCATCGTAACGAAAATATTCATAACAAATTCATCAAAACTCAAAATATTATAAGACCGTCACAAATAAAAGTAGACTAAAACCCCTCTTTTTAGAGCTACTACATGATAGGTTTCATATTTTTTAAACTAACCAAAAATAGCCCGAAATCCGGATTGAAGTATAATCTCGTCAGGAAAATGACAGCTTTTTAGCTGAACTTATAAAATTTATAACTAAATGTAAAAAAATCTGTTTAGAGTGATTCAAAAACTCACGTAAAGCTTGAGGTGTATAATTTAATAAAAAAATATAAAATCTATCAAAATCATAAATATATATAGGACGAAATAGAATCTACATAAGCTGTACAAAAAACTTATATTTGAACATTGCATCAAATACCTAGCATGCAGATCTTAACCTTCACTGTTAAGAAGTATAGTAGTTAGGAATTACACGTGTAATGCTCTTATTAGTTGAGCTTAGTTTACTTGTGCTAAGTTATGTATAAATAGGTGGTTGTAACAGATTTCAGAATTAATGAGAATCAGTTTCATTTCTCAATCTTTGATTAGTTTTCTCTTTCCAGATTCTGTTGAAAAGCTTTCTTTACAAGCTTTTCTTATATGGTATCAGAGCCTCCACCGGTGACGGAATTTTTTTTTCTCGGCGATCACCATGGATACTTCTGGATCTGCTTCTTCTACTCGGTTTGTTCCAATTACCTTTGCTCATTCTATTTCATCGAAATTAGATCATAATAATTTTCTGGTATGGCGGAGACAAGTTCTTGCCACTGTTCGTGGTCATCGTCTTTAGGATTGTCTTTCTGTTTCTATAAGATCTCCTCCGAGGTTCCTTTCTCTGGAGGATGAGCTCCTTCGTGTGATCAATCCAGCATTTCTGGAGTGGGAGCGACAAGATCAATTACTTGTGTCCTGGATGCTTACTTCAATGTCTAATTCGATTCTTGCTCGTATGGTGAATTGTGAAACAACAGCCCAGGTTTGGCACACAACTGAAGTCTATTTTACTTCACAAATTAGAGCCAAAAAGTCTCAATTTAAGACTCAATTACAAAATACTCGCAAAGATTCTTTAACTGCAAATGAGTATCTTCTTCGTGTTAGGCATTTCGTTGACATGCTCGCCTTAGTTGGCAATGAGATTTCTGTTAAGGATCATATCGATGCAATTTTTAATGGTTTGCCTCCTGAATATGATATCTTGGAAATTAGTGTGAATTCAAGCTTCGCTGATTATTCCGTCGAAGAAGTAGAATCTCTAATTTTAGCTCAGGAAGCACGAATTGAGAGAGCTATTAAGCTGAGTGATGGGTCTGGCAATTCTAGCTCTTCCAATCTCTCTTCTGCCAATCTAGCGATGACTGGTGGAAGACCTGGTTTTAATCTCAGATTTGGTGGTTTTAATTCTAGTCCTGGCCATTTTCCCCAAAGAGGTTATGGTGCCCCTAGTGCTAATGGTTTCTCTGGTCATTATGGTCATCCATTTGGCCGTAATTCTGGTTCTTCAAACAACAAAGGCAGGGGACATTTTGGCTATGGTCGAGGCCAATCTTAGAATAGCAATAAAATTCAATGCCAACTTTGTGGGAAACAGGGTCATGTGGTTATGCAATGTTACTATCGTTTTGATAAGTCTTTCACTGAACCTTCTCAGTTCAGTCATCAGATTCAAGGCAACTTGGCTCATTGCCCAAGTCAACCTACAACGGCAGAGTCTATTCAAATGGCTGCAATGCTTGCTACTCCAGAAACTATTGCTGATTCATCTTGGTATGCTGTGTTGGTTGCCAAATCGAATCCAGCTGCCGAAGCGTGGTGGTGCGGGGAAGAGGCGGATCGTGTATAACAAAAATTTTCATAAAACTTTTGAGATACTCTATAGATTATATTAATTTATGCACAAATAAATTAATCTCATTAACTTATATATATCAAGAACTCAATCAGGAAAAATACCTGGAAGCCGACTCAGATGATAACTTGAGTTCTTTGACCACGAACAGTCCTTGTTCCAATCTTTGTGTTTAGAAAACCAATGTCTTCCACATCAATTCCTAGAATCCACGAAGACGTGTGTGTGGGCACACATGAGACAAAACAGGTTACAATAAACACTCGAATTTCCACAAACACCATCACATGCACGATGTGGAATTTTTGGAGAAAAATTTTTCCTTCCTTTCTCTCTTGAAAATTTCGGCCAGCCTTAACCCTTAGGGCT